TAGTCGAACACGTATGTACAGGCTGCACAGACAAACGAAAGATGTATGCCATCATCGGATATTTTTGTCATGATACTGGAAGAATCTAGTCCGCCCATAGCCATTGTATTGTTGTAGGTGCTTCTCTTGGATGGTAAAAAAAGTAAATAGATAAGAGCTACTTGGACCGTTAAATAACAGTATTATATATATAGTGGACAATATGTGTATATGCTACCAAAAAGGGTCTTTGCCCTAAACGTCTAGCCATTTCAATAGTTACCAAGGACAACGATTACCGAATGTTCTTCTCCGTGATGCGTCCGTAGCATTGTGGAGGTGTTCATTATGCCATGCTGGTGTTGGTTCGTTACTGAGGTGTTCATTATGGTCCAGCCCTGAGTCGTTACAGAGGTGTTCATTATGGTCCAGCCATGATTCGTTACGGAGGTGTTCATTATGGTCAAGCCCTGATTCATTACGGAAGTGTTCAATATGGTTCAGCCATGATTCGTTACGGAGGTGTTCATTATGGTCCAGCCCAGGTTTGTTACTGTGGTGTTCATTATGGTCAAGCCCTGATTCGTTACTGAGGTGTTCATTATGGTCAAGCCCTGATTCGTTACGGAGGTGTTCATTATGGTCAAGCTCTGATTCGTTACGGAGGTGTTCATTATGGTCCAGCCATGATTCGTTACAGAGGTGTTCATTATGGTCAAGCCCTGATTCATTACGGAAGTGTTCAATATGGTTCAGGCATGATTCGTTACGGAGGTGTTCATTATGGTCCAGCCCAGGTTTGTTACTGTGGTGTTCATTATGGTCAAGCCCTGATTCGTTACTGAGGTGTTCATTATGGTCAAGCCCTGATTCGTTACGGAGGTGTTCATTATGGTCAAGCTCTGATTCGTTACGGAGGTGTTCATTATGGTCCAGCCATGATTCGTTACGGAAGTGTTCAATATGGTTCAGCCATGATTCGTTACGGAGGTGTTCATTATGGTCCAGCCCAGGTTTGTTACTGTGGTGTTCATTATGGTCAAGCCCTGATTCGTTACTGAGATGTTCATTATGGTCAAGCCCTGATTCGTTACAGAGGTGTTCATTATGGTCAAGCTCTGATTCGTTATGGAGGTGTTCATTATGGTCCAGCCATGATTCGTTACGGAGGTGTTCATTATGGTCCAGCCCAGGTTTGTTACTGTGGTGTTCATTATGGTCCAGCCATGATTCGTTACAGAGGTGTTCATTATGGCCAAGCCCTGGTTCGTTATGGAGGTGTTCATTATGGTCAAGCCCTGGTTCGCTATGGAGGTGTTCATTATGGTCAAGTACTGATTCGTTACGGAGGTGTTCATTATGGTCCAGCCCTGGTTCGTTACAGAGGTGTTCATTATGGTCCAGCCATGATTCGTTACAGAGGTGTTCATTATGGTCAAGCCCTGGTTCGTTACAGAGGTGTTCATTATGGTCTAGCCCTGATTCGTTACGGATGTGTTCATTATGGTCAAGCCCTGGTTCGTTACAGAGGTGTTCATTAT